ATTATTATTATTATTATTATTATTATTATTATTATTATTATTATTATTATTATTATTGAGCCATGGTTCTGCTCGAGGTTTCTGCCTGTTAAAAGGAAGTTTTTCCTTGCCTGTGTCGCCTAGTGCTTGCTCATGGTGGGAACTGTTGGGTTTCTGTAATTAACTTCAGAGTTGGGTCTGACCTGCTCTGTTTGGAAAGCTGTGAGACAACTGTTGTTGTTATGTGGCGCTATATAAATAAAATTGAGTTGAATTGAATTAATTTTAATTTTGTAATGTCATTGTCTGAACGTGTGTTTGGACTGATTTTGTATTTTATGATTTTGTGTTGTTTGGTCTTCCTGCCTCATGACGACAGATGTAAACTAGCAACTATGCTATAATCTGGCTCATTTACAATCTGTATGAGATTGTTCATTAATGTGCACTGTCCTGATTAAATAAATAAATAAATAAAGACCATGCAAACAGTGCAGAGATATCAGAATATCTGTCAGCAAAAAATATACACATCATAAACACTAAGAGGAAACGTGCACAGTCCTAGGTGTGTGTAGATTACACTAATATATAGCCACATATGTAACAATATAAATTGTGAAATATATGTGTCTAATATTAGACAGTATAGGGTAAAAATGAGTAAGTATTGCCCGTTGTAGGGGAAAAAAACTATAAATAATGCACATTGTAGGGTAGAAATATGCAAGTATTGCACATTATACGATATAAAACTATAAATAATGCACATTGTAGGGTAGAAATGTGCAAGTATTGCACATTATAAGGTAAAAAACTGTAAGTATTGCACATTATAGAGTAAAAAACTATAAATAATGCACATTGTAGGGTAGAAATATCTAAGTATTGAACATTATAGGGTAAAAAACTGTAAGTATTGCACATTATAGGGTAAAAAACTATAAATATGACATATTTTAAGGTAAAAAAACTGTAAGTATTACACATTGTACAGTAAGAAACTGCAAATTATGCACATTTCAGGACGGGATATTATATATTTGACAGTGTCTTTCAGTGAACGGGGAGTTCTGGCTGGTTATCACCGTAGGACAGAAGCTGTTTTTGAGTCGGAGCCCCAGAACTTATGTCAGGATGTCTCAGAATATGTCTCTTTCCTGGAATTAATTTGTTATTTGTGGATTTTTCTTTTCCTTCTAGTTTCCGACCCGATCTCTAAGCAGGAGCGAGTGGTCACACTGAGGGAGTTAAACTCTGTACAGGAGGTTTTCAGCTCTAGCAACAAGTTTTTTAGTCAATAAGCTGCCTGTGTGATGAGAGGAGGAATGGGTGTGATGTTTTTAGGGCAGAGGTTGAGCTGGGGACTGGGGGGGGGG